GGCGGCGGCGGAGGAGGCGGCGGCGGCGGCCATTCGTGTGCAGGGGAGCTTATCTCTCGATATCATTGCGCCTCTCCTCGCCCCCGGGCCAACCGGAGGAGAGAATGTTCCACCGTTGCTCATCAAGATATTCGCGAAATCATGATGTAAAAACGATGCAATCGCATTTCGAGCAGGCTATTGTAAGTTGAACGAGAAACCCCGCGAGCTTCTCCCCCGGGAGAAAATACTTTTCCAACGCACCTCCCTTGCACCGGATAATTGCTAGCAGTAGTTAACACGTTCCGGTTAGAAATGTTTCAGAACATCCCCTTCTCCCTTTTCCCTCGAGGCTTCGAGGATATAATATTTCCATCCTCATAGAATTTTCATAGAATTGCGCGTAATGTTTTTTCCGTTCTAACTTTCTCGAAATTATTTATTTCGAATGGACCGTGAGAAAAGCACGCGAGGAAATAAGGTAACGAAACGAAGATGTTAAAAATTTGAGAATGAGGCGAAGAAGAATTTAAAATCTCGATTCTCTCGGGGGAGGAACGTAACAATCGTAAGTAGATTACACGTGAATTGGTATAAAACGAACGGAGAAAGATCTGGATCGTTAAATGGATTAAATAGAAAGGGAGGAAAAGGAAATGGTTAACATTTTCCATTCCAAGTTGCATCTCCTCCAGGGAAGCAGATTTCAATTAAGTATCCAGCGCGTGGAGACGTAGACACCGGACTCAATTACAAAGTCATTAATTCCCGTCTTCTTTTTCCAGGCGAGAAACCGTTCAAGTGTGAATACTCGGGTTGCGAGAGGCGCTTCGCGAACAGCAGCGACCGCAAGAAGCACAGTCACGTCCACACCTCCGACAAGCCTTACAATTGTCGAGTTTCTGGATGCGACAAGTCGTATACTCATCCTAGCTCGTTGCGCAAACATATGAAGGTACGTGCGCAATCGTGAAACGATTCGACCCCCTTCTACCCGCGCTATCTCGCCGCTATTACCCATTAGTCGTTCGCTCTTTGTCCAATGANNGATATAATGATTTTTAACTTTTTCTTCTCTTTTTCTTTTTTTTTTTTTTTTTTCGAGTAAGAAACGATCGATCCAACACTTTTTCCCCGTCGAACAAATCGAATGTGATTTCGCTCGACGATCCTCGTTCCAATCGACGTTTGAATCGATGCTTTGCATGCTCGATATTAATTAATCGCTCTTCTTCTTTTCTTCTTTTTCCATATTATTTCGGCTTAATCTTAGATCCATTCCCTTGCACACGTCCACCTAGACACTAGATCGAGAAGCGGGGGCCTATCGTGTTTGCCATTTCGTTTCACGCTAGGAAACGATAGTGGACACGTTTGGAAC